AGCGAACGAAACGAAACGAAACGAAAAGAAAAGAAAAGAAAAGAAAAGGAAAGAAAAGATCGTAGGGTGCGGTTAGGGGAGCCGAGGGATGCGCAGAGGTTCGGCCGACGCGACGGCTCCGGTCTAATGAACGAATGGGGCCTTCCGCAAAAGGACCGCCGCGAACGGAGAAAAAACCCCGGCGCCGTCGCTTTTGCGGTCAGTTACTTTTCACCCTTTGCTGTTCTTTTTGCCCCGGTGGCCGAGCCTCGCCACCGACGAATTCCGGCAACAAGATGAACACCGGCGACCCGGAGCAACTATCTCTCTATTAAAGGGATCCCGAAATTGTCCGGGAGAAACGAGCGCGCCCCGTTAACCCCGTGTCGCGCCTATTCAACCCCTGGGTGCGTGCCACGCGAACGAGGCGCGTCGGGTGATCGGTCGAGAACGTCGAATTGTTTTCACCCTGATCGATAAGCGGAAAGGAAGAGGGTGGTGTCCGCGATACGCGACGAGTTCGCGGTCCTGCAACAACCTGCTACAGATTGGCGCCATGTTTCTTTAACCCGGCGGCGAAGATAACGCTCCTTCTACAAGGCGCTCGGGATTTATTCGAATTGATATATCGGAATATCAATTGAGTTCTGTGCTTCGTACGCTGAGCACTGTACTCCCTATATCATGCAATAGCTTAGTCAAGCTTTCCCGCGCGACCATAAACCTCGACCGGATGTTAATAAATGGGAGCGGCGGCAAGGGGTTGGACGATCATTATTCTATGCTTTCTGAGAAATGTAGGAGGGGATAGGAAATTCTCCCTAATTTTTCTGCAGCTTGTAAACAAAGGTGGACAATTTGGGAAGAGGAAGGACGGTTATTCGAGACTTGCACCGTATTTTTTAATTGTTGACCATAAAAATGAGCCGCGAGGATCGCGCACAAAAATGGATAATTTAGGAAGAGGGGACACGATTATTCGAGCCTTGCACTTCGTTTTTTAATTGCTGACAGTAGACGACCGTAAACATAAGCCGCGAGACTCGAATACAGTAATGTCTCTTTAACTGACGCTCAGATCGAGGCACAAAAATGGACAATTTGAGAAAAGGAGACACGATTATTCGAGCTTGCACTTCAGTTTTTAATTGCTGACAATAGGCGACCGTAAAAATAAGCCGCGAGACTCGAATACAGTAATGTCTCCCTAACTGACGCTCAGATCGAGACACAAAAATGGACAATTTGAGAAAAGGAGATACGATTGTCCGAGTCTTGCAACTCGTTTTTATAATTACTAACAATTCGTAACTATAAAAACGAACCGCAAAACTCGAATAATCGTATCTCCTGCTCCCAATTTGTCCATTTTTAAGCATCAGTTAGGGAGACAGTAATCGCAACCTGCTCTCCCGAAATTGTCCATTGTTTAATTAGAATTTGAAGGAAAATTAGGGAGAATTGACCGTACCTCGCTACATTTTCTTGAAGGAAATTTCGAGAGAATTTACTACACTTTCCGCGCAAAGATCCTTGCAGAGGTGTGTCGCGATACAGCCAGGTGGTTTCGATGAAAACGGAATTAAACCGAGAAACGGGTAACAGGTCGAGAACGCAAATAAATTTTCTGTTTTCCTTCGCAACAGTTATGTGCCAACACACTGGCAAGCATCGAAAGAGTACCACGCGGCTTTCCGCGGAAAAATTCTCGGAGGGTTTCGCGTCCGCGGCGATGAAACGAGAGAGAGAGAGAGAAAAAAGGAACGAGATCGTACTGAAAAGCGCGGATACGCGGGGGCTGAAAGTTGCACGCGTGTTCCAGAGAGTAATTCAGTTTTAACGTTCGAGAAGCGCCCGGGACACTCGTGTCGAGGGCCTATCGATCGATGGAAAACATCTCCTTCGGGGGTATAAAGGAAACTGGGGGGTCGGCCGGGGCGGGGGTCACCGAATTAACGAAACCGATGTCTGAATTCGAGCGTGACACGGCGACGGAGGGGGGTGGGTAATGGGATGGATGTCTGTGTAGAAGGGAGCAAAAAGAACTGTAATCCAATTACGGCGGGTCGGAGGCCGCGGCACGGCCATTTGGACACGATATCGAGCGATTAAAAATAATATGTGAGCGCGCGTGATCAGAAGTTTGCTCGCGTGTGAACGAACGCGCTTCGAGCACGAGTCGAACCAGCCTCCTCCTCCCCCCCTCGTCCGCGGCTTTGATTCGAGCTTTTCCGTCGGCCCGGCCGCGGTGTTTTCTCTCTTTAACCATACACGGGGAGGGAGGGGGCTCGGCAAACGTCACTGGCCACCCTTGTTCTCGATACACCGGATTCCTTTCATGGGTGCTCGGCAAAGGCCGTGCGCGCCCGGCAATCGCGTTACACCGTGGCGTGGCTACTAGTTCCTCGCGCAAAAGTGAGCCGAAACTATGAAGCGAAATTGTTTCATAGAAACGACGGCGGGGCGGGGGGATATCGTGTTCGGGGCCGAGCCCGGAACGCGAATGGCACGGGTCGACGTGTCCGATCATTACGGCGCCGATTCTATTTATTGTAACCACCGGCGCGTGCCTATCGAGCGAATTGCCGAATTTCGTTGCGTTCTTCGACTACAAAGCCCGGCTACGGACAAATTTCATTACTCTTCCGCCCCTCCGCGAAATATTATCCCCCGCCCCGCCGATCACCGCGCCATGATTGTCGCGACACGCTGCATATTCATGCGCGCGGTTATAAAACAACAACAACAACAACAACGGAACGAGGGACGGGGTGGGAGAGGCGAGGGAGGGAAAAAAAAGGAATCGATTCGCGGGAAATGTGATTAGCCGATGGAGGAACGATCCTCCGCCTCTCTCTCTCTCTTGCGCGCGCGCTCCTCCTCGGTTTCTGGTCAGTGGCTCGATTGTTTTTTAATCTATCGAATTCGCGTGCCGCGCAATCTACGTGCAAATATTTGCGCAGACGGTCAATTTCATCTGTACGCGTCGGGCACGGTCGCAATCGAAACGGATTCATCAGGCTAAGTACTCGCGGGCCGGCCCCGATATCGAGCCGGATAAGTTGCTCGGGAGTACATTGCCTTTGGGAAATTCGCTTTGTTGCTGTTCATCGTTATTGCTACTGCCACTTGCGGCTCGATCATTGTTCCCGATTCGCCGCGATTATCCGTCCCATCGATCACCGATACCATCCCCTAACGAACGTTTCTCTAGGGTCTCGACGGTCGGCACGATTCCGTATCTCGTAACGACGAACGGTACTCCGCGCGCGGATCTCCTAGATCCCCCAGGGTCCCCCGTGATCCAGGCATGATGCGGAAGATCGCGACGCTGGTCGCTGTCGGTAAAACGGACGCTGATCTACAGCGGGGAACGCGACCTTTCGCTATTCGCGGCCTCGGAATCGTCGGCATTCGAGGCAATCCGGGTCGCGTCGGTAACGGACTTACCTTGCGCGCCGTTAAGGGTGCGAACGATGGTAAAACAGGGGGGTTGAAGAACGGGCGTCGGTAACGAGATAGAGAGCACAGGGAGACGTTTCGCGAGAGCCTCGCGAAATGTTTCCGAAGCCGATCGGATTCGCTTTCGACGAGGCGTTTTATCAGCGGGAACGCGCGAATCTTCGGTAAAAGGCGTTGATTTCGTGGCGTGAATTTCGCCGGAGATAGGTCGTCGGCGAGGGTGATCACGGGGTTAATTACCATCCGGCGACGTTAAATCGCGCTGCTCGAGAATCAGGGGCGAGGGGCGGCTGTTAATATTTCGCTTGTGTTACTCTTAAAAGTCGCAGGTGCGGGGGATTGAATTAGCGGTATGAAAAGTCACGTGTACGGAGAGTAAATTAAGCGTAATTAAAAGTGGAGGGAACGGTGAATGAACGGCGGACGAGAATGTTAATTAGGGAGTTTCGTGGGCGCGTGGCTCTCTTAAATTCTAGTACGCCGAAAGGATAAACGCGTCCGGTGCCGCGTTGCGCGCGCGTGTGTACGAAACTGAAAAACCGAGCTGCGAAGAAAAATGAGGAAACAATGGGGGAGAAAGTGGCGCGGAGAACGCCACGTGCTCGATGCTTTTCTTGCTCGAGCGATTAAAAATCCGCGATACGTCGAGGTTTCGCTGTTTCGCCAAGGAGACGTGCTGTCCTTTAAATTCGGCAGCGACGAAGCGGGCGTTCTCCGACGGAAAAAAAAGCCGAATCGACCGACGGAAAATTTCAACGGTATTCGGCAACGCGTCCCGCGGAACAACGGAACGGATAGCGACGGTAATACTTCATCGACGTCGAGCCATTGTGCGAGATATCCGTCCAATATCGCGCAATAGAGACATCGTTCGCGAGAGAAAACACGTTCGATAGTAAATGACGGCGCTCGGTGGCCGACAATCGGCGACGTTATCCGCTGGAAAGAATGCATCGTGACGAACGTTTATCGCCGGTTATTATAGCACGCGTCGCGCGCGGATGCGCGGGCGAAACGAAAACCTCTGTTCCCCGATCGCGGAAGTTCTGGCGGCGTTGCGAATAAATTAAAAAATTTCATTAGCCGACGCGGCGCGGCGCGGTTGTTTAAACGGACGTGGACTTTCAGCGCGGATCAATTTACAGAAAGCGGAATCAAGCGGAAACTTGTTTGCTCTATTAAGAGACCCGTCAACTTCCGAACAAAATAAAAAGCTCATTAAACTTTATTCGGCCCGTTTAACGAACGCGGAATTCCCGTCTGCCGCGACGGCGGCGGCGCCCGTACACGCTGCGAACGCGCGTAAATCCCGCGGTCTATTTATGAAATTTCGATAAACTTTCGACGGCATCGTTTCGACGGCGCATCGTGTTCCGGCTGGTTCGCAACAATGCGAAACGCGGGGAACGGTCGCTGAACAAAGTGCAACGCGGCTAATTAGCCGGATCTTCGGAATCGGAGCTCGGCCGCGCCGATGGAATCGCTGGTCGCGGCGCGCGTTGCCGAATACACGCGTGATAGGCGAACGAATCGAGAATACAACGGAAATGAAAACATACGTTTGTCCTGCGAATTCTGTCTGAACGTATTCGAGCATTCCCTCTTGGGACGGCTGCGTTGGTACGCACCTGTGTGTCTCTCTCTCTCCCACGGGGTCGATCCTTTTTTTTTAAAGCTCGTTCTGCAAGCAAACATACGAAACAAGATTAAACACTTTCGATGGATTCGTTTTGTTTTTTATTTCGTAATTTCGCGCGCGCGCGACCGCGCGCTGTTCGCGCGATCCGCGAGAGTTAACCCTTTGCACTCGAGTGGTGACTCTGAGGCACCATTAAAATTTACGATGTCACGTTCTAAAATAAAATGTTTACATTAGCAAAGTCTAGATTTAAAAAGATTTGTTAAGAGCATAACCGTTGTGTGAGTCGCATGAGTCAATCTCATGTGCATAAAATGCACTTTGTCATGCAAAATAAAAATACTGTAAGTCAGAAAAATTATTTCAGATTTACAGTTGATTTAAAAACAGTTGAAATAAAGGGTTAAATTAACCGGCGGCCGGCTTCGGCCAGCGATTATCCTAATGAACGTTACTCGCCTAAACGGCGGGGCAAAAGGATCGCTCGACGGGAAGGTGCCCCGGAATCAACTTTCTTTCCCCGGTGCAACGTATAAATCTCGTATCATTTATTATAGGTCCGCGGGTCCCGCGAACTTTGAGACGCGATGAATAATTACACGCTCGCCGCTGGATAACTCCGTAAGTTCTTGTTTATTATTTAATAGTCTGGCCCGGCGGAAAGGAAGGGGGGAGGGGGGAGGAAAAACGAGAGCTGCAAGACAAATTGTTTTCGCGGCGATGCTTTATTGTGTCGTTAAAATAATGCAACGTAACGTGTAATGAGCGCACAGGGTTCGTTAAACGACCAAATTATTTTATCTACAGTCTACAGTGCAATTTTAATAAACCATGTTCATACATACGTACATACATACCTGCG